TGGCCAGGAACTTGATTTTACGATTTAACCTTTCTTCCGCCTTCCTGGCCACCCCAAACCCGGCTCTAATTGGCAGTGGAAGCTCCTCTCCTTTCTACTCCCAGAAGTTTCTCCACATTTCAGGAATTTGAGGGGTCTTGGCTGGCGCGCTGGGCGACTTACCCGGGAGTGCTCCTGCTGCCTCCGACCTCTGCCTCTCCTGCTGCTGCTTCGGGAGCTCCCCAGCTGCCTCCAACCTCTGCCTCTCCTGCCATATCTCATCTATCCGCCTGGTTCGTCTTGCCCTCGTTTCTTCGGCCGTCTCTCCAGCTGGCATCCTTTCCCTCGTGTGGAGGTCGACCCTCTTTGGGATTTCTGCTTCCATCTCCTTCTCGGGCTGGCATGATTCCTGGCGTGACTCTGCAGGTGCTGGCTCCTCCAGGTCTGGGTGCTCTAGGGCATGAGCTGCTAGGTGCCTATCAATCAGGATCAAAGCTTCTCTCCTTACTGCTGCCCTCTCTCTCCTCCTTCCTGCCCTCCCTTCTGGCGAAGGAGCCTTTTCTGACGAAGGTGAAGGGGTCTCCTCTCTCTGCAACCCCTCCTTTGCTTGTCGGGCGCTCCCTGGTGCACCCCCGAGTCTCAAACCCACTGCTGGCGCATGTGGGGGCGTGTCTTCTCCAACCTCTATCACTTCCTTCCCTGCATGTCTCCCCTCATCGCCCAGCTCTCTCTCTCGCTGAGTACCCCGGACCTCTTCTTGTGGCACCTCCTCTCGTGGCACCTCCCTTGCCTGCTCTCCATGCTCCTCACCCTAAAGCGACGCCCTCCACCGAGAGATATCTAAATGCATCTCCAATTCCCTCAAGCGCCCCTCTGACGTTGGTGGCTTCCCCTGTGTGTGGGCTGGCGACCTCCTCAATCCACCCTCAGTAAAACGATGGAACTCCACTGGTCCCAACCCACACTCAGGGTATGCCCCTCGCTCTTCATCCTCTGGCTCCTGCTCTCTCCTGGCTAGGGCCTTCCGCCCTCCTCAAGAGGGTCTCGCCTCCCTGGGCTCAGGGTCCCTCGGCCTCTGACTCCTCTGCCGCCTCTCGACTCTGGGCTGAGGGAGCTCTGGCCGTCGAAAGGCCTCTCTCAAATGTGCCCTGCAGCTTTCCCAATCTCGTGCCATGTCTCTGATCTACATAGCCAGTGGCCTTTCCGCCTTCCTGGTCCAGAGTGGTAGTGTCTGCATCCAATCATCTCTCTGTATGCCCTGCTCTTGCATGAACCACTCAAATGCGGGGATGAAGTCCGACGCATTTCCAATCTCCAGGCGGATTGGCCTGCCATCAGGTCTCACTGGCAAGGGTCGCAACTCCTCCATCCTTATCTCCACCTCCTGCCTCGTCGTCACCTCCCTACGAATCCTGGCAATGGGCTCTTTGAACCTACCTGCTCCCCTCAATCTCTCAATCGCCTGAGTGACGGTCCAGCCCATACGCCTCGCATGCTCCCAGAAACTGTCCAGGAATAGCTCGATGTCCCCATCATTGTAGACTGGTGTACTCTCTTGTTGGCGAGGCCCATGCTGCTCATATCCTTCTGATGCACCCAACGGCCTCTGAGGCGGCCGTGTCCCCTTCCCTCCTCTTGGCATGGCTGTCTTCGTAAAGTCAGACCTACGCAACAGGCGAAGAAGACAACAGGCACACGTTGGGGTAAGTAAGCAGGTGATAATCAGAGCACGCTCAAACCAGACTGCACTTGTGCAGCATGCATCCTTCCTAACCTGCACACCCTGTTACGTCTTATTCTAGGGGCGGTCAAGTCAACTCTCTTACCTCTTCTCTCGCCATGAATTTCTTCAGTCGCGTTCCAGATACCCAATCCTTCTACTCAATCTCATTTAACTCCTCGATCAGGTACGCTCCGAAGTCTCCGACCCGTGCAATTCGGTAGGGACCTCACCATCTCTTATCGAGCTTCCTGGACCACTGCTTCTCCAGCGACGTATCGTAGAGAAGCACGACATCCTCGACCGCCAAGGGTACTTTCCTCACTCGCGCAGACTGATCCCATCGGGTCTTATCATCCATACGGCTTCTCGCCACCTGATCAGATGCCTCCTAAATCCTTTCTTCTATCGCCCCGACCTGCCGCGCCCGAATATCGAGCAACTCTTCAAATGACAGGTTGACTTCCAGATCCCGGCGCCTCCACGTCTTAAGAAAGCTTTCGATAGGGAAGGTGGCATGCCTTCCGTACCACAGCGTCGCAGGTGCGTACTTAGTGGATCTCTTTACTGTAATGTTCTCGACAAAGAAAACCGCCCTTAGGTATCTTGGCCATTGATTAGGCCTACCTTCAGTCTATTTGGCCAGGAGGTTCGTAATGATACTATGTCCTCTCTCTACGGGAACATTTGCCTGGGGGTGCGCGGTCGTGGTGTAGTTGGCTGCCACACCATATCTTGCTAACAGTTCTTGCACCTCCTGACAGGTAAACTCTGATCCCCTGTCCATTACGAATTCCCTGACGAAGGGATAACGCAGGTAGTACTCCTCGATGCAGCTCACCAGGACTGACCCGGTCTTTGTGCGAATAGCTCGCCCGTCTACGAACCCAGACAGGTTATCGCGCGTATCGAAGATATAATTATAGCCCTGATCCCCAAGCGGTATAAAAAGCAGATCGAGATGTACTACGGCCCCTACCTCTCGCTCTAACCTTGGATGTAGCGGCTCTCCCTGCCTTAAACGGGATCTCTCCTAGCAGGGTACGCAAGATCGACAGAATTTCCCGACCATGTCCATCATTCCATCCCAGTAGTACAGCTCACTTATCTTGGCATACGTGGCTTGTACCCATCGATGCCCTCCTGCAATGCCATCGTGTAGTGCTGCTACGACGTCGATCTGACGATTCCTACCGCAGACGACCCTTCTGGTATTCCCCACTTCCCTTCTCACGAAAAGGTGACCGTCTCGCACTAAGTAGCGTTGCAGCATCCTTTGAGCCCTATCGCTCGCATCTCTTAGCCGCATTTCACGTGACAGAAGAAGCCCCAGCTCTAGGTAGATCCCGTCGTACTCCTCTGCACGAAAAGTCTCCTTAATTTCCCCTTCTTCGAATTCGTCGTCCTGGCTCTCGGGTATTTCGTCCACATTTCCTGCCGGGTTCAACGAGCCCGACTGGTCTAGGCTTTCCTGCAATAACGTATTGACGAGGAGATACATTCCTCCCATCAGGTCCTCATGCCGTTCTACCTGGCCAGGTCCTTCCTCAATCGTCCTCCTATCCTCCACCAGGCTATGCGAGCTGGCCAGCGCTAATTCCATCATCCACTGAACATCCTTACCGCCCCAAGGATCCTCTTCTTCAAAGGGTTTAGGGACTAACTCATTCCTCCTTTCATACCCCTTCGGCGCTTGCCAGATAGGATAGCCTACACAGCTAGGCACTCGCGGCGACCATTTGTTGATATGAAGACGAACATCTTCTTCCTGATCCAGAAATCCATCAACTGGGGGCGTATTCTTCACTGCCTCCCCTTCCTGCTTATCCCAGTTGATCCGACTCAGCCCGTCTACCCGGTTCTTACTACCAGGAATCCGTTCCAATTCGAAATTGAACATCCAGATGTACGTCAGCCATCTGGCAATCGTCGGATCCGATGGAACGTAATTCCTTAGAGAGTAGGCCAGGGCGGTCGGATCCACTCTCAAAATGAACCTCCTGCCAAAGATATAATTCCGGAAGATTCGCAGACAATGGAGGACAGCAAGGGTCTCCCTCTTGAACTGAGAGTAGTTCCTCTCCGTCGTGTAGAGAGTCCGGCTCTCAAATCGCAAGGGTCTTTCCTTCCCTTCCATGTCTGCCTGAATTAGAACTCCCCCTAAGGCAGTCGGTCCCGCATCCGTCTCGACAATGAAGAGTCGCGTCTCTGTGGCGTCAGAATCTGGCGCTCCTAACACCAACCCTCCTTTTCGAAATTCCTCATTCATTTTTGCTACCACCTCTTCTTGTTCCTCACCCCATACCCATTCCTGATCCTGGCGGACTAACTTCTTCAGGTTTTCAGTCTTAGCGGCAAAGTTCTTGACGAAGGCCCTTCAAAATCCACACGTACCAAGGAAGCTCCTGACATCAGTTATTGAGTGGAACGGAACTGGCCACTAAGTAATCTTGTCCGTCTTCTTCATATCCGGCCTTCGGCCCTTCTCATTGCAGACTATCCCCAAGATAGTCGCTTCCCTCATGCAGTGTCTGGATTTGGCCCCGCTTGTCGTGAGGTTATGCTCTTCGAGCAGGCTCAGGACCTTTTCGAGGTCATGAATGCGTTTCTAGACAAAGCGCCTTACCCCTGGTGAGACTTCGTCGCTCTCTTTTGTCGTCCGCCCCTTCACTGCCAAATGTATGGCTGTGTGATATGGGGGCTGACTGAGTGCATGGCCCGAATCATGGCCCGTTGGACCATTGCTACTGCGTTGGTCCACCCTTGTGGGGCCACGTTCATGTGGACTAATCCTCGCAGCGTGTGCATAGCTGTCACCGGCCTATCCGCCGGGTAGACTGGGAACTGATCGTATCCTGAGTAAAGGTCTATAAGCGAAATTATAGGCCTTCCAGCACAGGATTCCGACAGTGYGTCTGCATTCGGCAGTCCTCCAGCATCTCGCACGGTCACTGCATTCAATCTTTGCAAATCCTGCACCCACCGCAGCGTCCCGTTAGGCTTAATAAAGCAGAACCACGGGGACGCATACGGTCCACTTGAATAGTCGGCGACGTGAGTACGTATCTTG